ACTTAGCCAATGTCAGAGAGGCTCTGCTCAACTTCCAGTCCTACTTCATCAAGCAGATCTTGAGATCCGAGAACGCTGAGGCTGATGCCCTATCCCGATTAGCYAGCACAAGCGATAACACCATCAGAACCGTGTACATAGAGAACCTGCCTCGACCTAGCATTCTCGAGGGGGCAGAGGAGGTCGCTCCTATCGTACAAGTAGAGCCGAGATGGGTTGATCCAATCGCGAGCTACCTGCTACACGAGACCCTCCCTGCAGATCGTAATGCTACCAGAAGGGTAGAGCGTCAGGCAGCCAAATGCGTCATAATAGACGGACGGTTGTACCGAAGATCCTACACGCTCCCTTATCTGTGCTGCTTACGACCTTCCGAAGCTGAGCTCGTGCTCCGCGACACTCATGAGGGCTTGTGCGACGGACACATGGGGGGCAGGGTTCTCGCCCAGAAGGCGCTACGACAGGGATATTATTGGCCAACGATGAAGGCAGATGCGACTAAGTTCATCAGAAGGTGTGACAAGTGTAAGAAGCATGCCAACATCCACCGCTAGCCCGCTGCCGACTTCAAGTACCTCACCAGCCCATGGCCCTTTGCACAATGGGGGATCGATATACTCCGACCATTTCCACCAGCAATAGGACAGAGGAGGTTCTTAGTGGTGGCAATTGATTATTTCACCAAGTGGTTAGAGGCTGAACCTCTCGCAACGATCACGGTGCGAAGTGTGCAGAATTTCTTCAGAAGAATATAGTTTGCCGTTTTGGACTACTCCGAGTGCTCATCTCTGATAACGACAAACAATTCGAGGACATTAAGTTCCAGAACTAGTGAAAAGACATGGGAATACAACAAAATTTCACCTCAGTGGCAGACCTTCAAGCGAACGGTCAAGTGGAGGTCACAAACAGAGCCATTCTCCGCGGACTAAAGGCACGTCTAGCCCGAGCTAAGGGACTGTGGGTAGACGAGCTGCCCAACGTACTATGGGCCTATCGAACCACGGTGAAGACCGCAATGGGCGAAACCCCTATCAACCTCACTTACGGTATGGAGGTAGTGATCCCAGCCGAGATTGAGGTCCCTACACTACGCCTGGAAGCATACGACGACAAAGCAAACAAGGATGAACTACGCACCAACCTCGACCTCCTTGACGAGGTACGGGACCTTGCATACATAAGGACCGCAGCCTACAAACAGAGAGTAGCTCGGTACTATAACACTAGGGTCAAGAAGCAGAACCTCCGCGTCGGAGACCTAGTTCTTCGTAAAGTCATGGTACCTGAGCCTGGTGTTGGTAAGCTCGGGCCAAATTGGGAAGGACCCTACCGAGTAAAGCGGGTACTTGGGGAAGGAACGTATGAGCTTGAAACCCTAGAAGGGAAGCAGGTACCTTGGGCATGGAAAATTTACCAAACTCCAGAAGTGAGTGGACCACAAGTCGCTCCTCGAGCCTATGGACCAAAGTGCCGAGCTAAACCTCAGCACATACAAGACCCAGTCACTTCCTTGGCATGGGCAAACTCTAGAAGTGAGTGGACCACAAGTCGCTCCTCAAGCCTAAGGGCCAAAGTGCCGAGCTAAACCTCGGCACCATACAAGACCGAGTCACCTCCTTGGCATGGGCGAACTCCAAAAGTGAGTGGACCACAAGTCGCTCCTTAAGCCTAAGGGCCAAATTGCCGAGCTAAACCTCAACACCATAGAAGACCCAGTCGCCTCCTTGGCATGGGTGAACTCCAGAAGTGAGTGGACCACAAGTCGCTCCTTAAGCCTAAGGGCCAAAGTGCTGAGCTAAACCTTGGCACCATACAAGACCCAGTCGCCTCCTTGGCATGTCCAGAAGTGAGTGGACCACAAGTCGCTCCTCGAGCCTAAGGGTCAAAGTGCCGAGCTAATAAAAGAACCTCGGCACCATATAAGGCCTAGTTGCCTCCTTGGCATTGGCGAACTCCAGAAGAGAGTGGACTATAAGTCGCTCCCCCAGCCTAAGGGCTAAGATGCCAAGATAACAAAAGACCTCGGTACCACCAAAGACCTAGTCGCTAGTTCGACGTAGGCAAAGTACTCTAAAAATGCCTAAGGTATAGGCAGCTCAGGTATGAGCACCTATGATAGCTCGGGCATACCAGGCAGTTCAACATAGGCGAAGTAACCAGTGCACTGACAGGTTAGGCATGCACCCTACAATGCCGCTCACTTCGGCGTACACCTTGTGAAGTTGCCTCTAAGCACTGAGTGAGTTCAGGATAACAACTAAGGAACCCCCACTTCGGTCGTCTAGCTTGATGGCTTAACAATTCAGGAAAATGGCATCCTCAATTTGCGATCAGAAACAAGGAAATTGCACGACACTTAGCAAGAAAAAAGTGTTTCATTAATTCTGCAGTTCATTACAAGGATGGAAGAAACAAAAAATGCTGAGCTCGTAGGCTCRAAATACAAAGACTACTTGAACTACTTGAGGGGCTCGTCGCTCTTGCCCGAAGCCTCCGCGGAAGTACCAGCCTGGTCGGTGGCATTAACCTCTCTAATGTCGTCATCCTCCTCCTCGGAGTTTGGGTCTTCGGCGGCTTGGAGGGCTACCTCTCCTGTGATTCGCGAGGTAGTGATGGCGCTTACGTCGAGTTGCGGGAACTTGCACTTGATTAGCCATCTACTGAGCTTGAAGCCTTTGTGGTAGGCCTCCACCAATGCCCCATCGAACTCCTTCGAGTTCTTGTAGTCTTTGACAGCCTTGACCTTGGCCTCCTCCATGGACTAAAGAAAGATTTCAGTCCACTCCTTGACATCCGCCTCGAGGTTCTCTACCCAGCGCTCTAGAGTTCTTCTATCCGTCTCAAGGTTTTCCACCTTGCGCAGCAGGTCTTCCTTCTTCGACATCAACGACATGATTAACTCTTYCTGAGCTAGCGCATCGCCCTCTAGCCGGTGGATCTGGCCRCGAGCTAATTTCAGCTCAGTATGGGCCTAACGGGATGAACTCTCGATGGCCGGAGCCTGCTTCAGGTGTGCCTCAGATTGGAGAGTTAGGGAGTGCACGGCATTGTTCACTTGCCAAGAATGCCAGTTAGTACCAATAAGGCTACAAATGCAAAAACTAAAGTTTAAGTGCGACCTCAGAGTGAACACTAGTGAACTTATGGCGAAGAAAATGACTCGGGTCCCCCCTATTTATAGCTGCTATATCTGGGAATCAATGGTCAAGATCAGGACGATCCAACGACTCTCAAGAAAACTGGCTGTGCGACCCCCGAGGTGAAATCAATTTAGCGTATTTTTTGGCGTCTGCGGAATCTATAGATCGCGTGACGTCCGCACGTGAAATGCATGCAACCCGGGTTATCCTTGATTGTGACAAGCAGCGAACTGGTCCGACCAGCGAACTATCTGACTAGACRACCTAGACTTCGAGCCAAATCCACCCGTCGTGTCATGAACTCCCCACACCAGGTCAGGACCCCTGGCCCGGGGAGTGGGGGGTAATTGATGGAGGGTGATTTGGCCTGACCTCATAATAAGGGGACACGTGGACATGACTCAACATAAGTGATAGCTCAGCATAACGAGTTCGGTACAACTCAACGTAACGAAGCTCACTGACCCAGTCTGACAGCCCGCCTAAAGTGGCAGCTTGCTACAAGATGATACTCCGTTGCCCCGAGCTAAGACTCCCCCAAGTAAGAAGCACCCTGAGCTAAGATTCTCCAAGTAGGGAGAATCCCGAACTGAAGACACTTCGGGTTAAGCTCGTCAGCTCCCTAGCATAAGCTCTCTCCTGCCTAAGGCTACCTCAGGGACCCGCCTCGGAGAAGCACCTCGGCACATCACCAGCAGCTCGGTGTAAGGTAATTCGCTACAGAGCAATTCGGCGTATCGTAGAAGATTTTCTGTCTGACAACCGTACCTGCCAAACCTGGAGATTGCAGCCACGTCTCTCGTCTGGTGGCGTCGTGCCTGCCAACCCTAGAGGCTGCTAAAATCGTACTCTGCAGCGGTCACCTTTGAYTGATAGCTCAGCTCTGACAAATAATGGCAAGCCACTCCAAGCCGTTATTTGACAGCAGATCGCCGCAGCAGAGATTTGGAGGCAGTTATACCTGACAAGTCAGAATACCAATATATAAAGACCCCGACCCCAGGGGCAAAGGTATTGCATGATCAGCACTCTTAGCTCTTTAATTTCTCTACAACTCTCTCTCTCCTTTGCTCTCCCAACTTACTAACTTAAGCATCGGAGTGTTCTTGCCGCGTGAGCCCCCGGGATCCTTCATCTTCTTCCTTACAGGTGTCTCTCATCCATCGCCAGTTAGGAGCGCAGCCACTTCCAATTAGAAGTGACCAGATCGTACACCATCAGAGCAAATATGAATTTTTTTTTTGCAACATCAAAATATCAGAGTTATGTGTTGCAAGGAGCATTAATATGAATTAATAAGATGATTTGGGTCTTATATATGTCGACTTTCAATACATTAACCAAATTCCTAGAGAAGAGGAGGATTAAGGTGAAATAACTTGTCAGAAGAGAAAAACTCATTCAAATAGTTTACCTTTCATTATTTGATGCACTTCCTCCTTATCACAGGGTTATGGCAATTTTCCCTTGTTTTTTTTTTCTCTAAAAAGTTTATTGTTTTTGAGCCAAGATGGTCTTCCTTTTCAAGAATTCCATTCTGCCTTTGCCCATCCAAGTTGGCAGTTTATACATTTAGGCCGAGATTGACCAGCCCATCATGGCCCACCATGCAATAAACTGTAGCAAAAACTAAAGACCATAATTTTACCAATATCATCATTCAGCCTTTTGAAACTTGTCAAATCCTATGATAAATCTGCTGCATGAACAGCTTTTCGCTGAAAATTTTGTATTTTAGAATTTAGATGAAGATGAGGATTCTAGTTTAGTTATTATAGTGGTAGCCTATTTATTTTGTTCTCTCTTGTAAGTTGCTTGTGGTCTGTTGACGAGTAAGATAAGAACAAATGAGCAAACCTGATATACTCCAATGAGATGGATGGCAATGCAAACATTGGCAAAGTCAATGAGCCAAAAGGGTTCATAAAATCCAAGCCCAGTAAGAAAGTTTCCTGGTGCATCATTCCCAAACGCAGCATAGCCAATGCATCCACATAGTATGTAGAACATGGCTGTGGTGGAGACCCCAATAAACGAAGCCCTCTTCATCACTTTGTTCTCTGGGGGACTTGATTTTAGTGTGTCCTGCAATTCATAGTTTGCCTTCAAGACGTCAAATGTAGTATATATATATAGAAAGTGAAAAGCATAGCAATGATGGCTTGTTCAGAAACTCTTGTAGGTATGGTTTTCAAAACCGGAGCGGACTGGATGGATCGGAAAAACCTGGAACAAGTCAGGTGACCGGTTTCTTTTTTCCCTGAAACTGAGATTTCTCAAATTAATCATTCAAATCGTTTGAATTGTTTTGATATTTTTTATTTTTCAAATTTTATTTTTTATTTTTTTRTCAAAACAGGCTGATTGTTCGGTTTGAACGGTCAAACTGTTCGACCCGATAACCAGACCCCTGACCAATTCAGTTTCTGGRTCGGTTTTAAAAACCATACTTGCAGGTATAGAAATTGCATATGGTTTATTTGAAGAGGGAAAAATATGATTGGTTTAATTTAATTTAGCAACCACGGTTTTATGAATTAATTAAGAAAACCTAAACAGCTGTTGAGGATTAAGCTGAACCATCTTAGTCATTGGTTGACAAATGATTCAAAGTATTGTCAGTATATTTAAGTACTACCCACTGCTTAAATTTTAGGAATTCTTTGCAACTACTTGATTATATTTTTCGGATCAAATAAACATAATTCCGCTGCTGCTTCCCTCCAACCTGAGAAAATTAGGGATCCAATGGAGCATCTTAAGAACAGTGAACGATGCATGGGGTTGTGTACCAAGTTCAAGCACATGTGCCGAATGTAAGACTGTAAGATTGTAATTTGAGTGGACCCAACATGAAACTGGCCCAACCCAATCTCATGTTTTGCAAGGGTAAGTCCATAGTCTTTGATGTTTGGCCTATGGGCTGGAACTTGGTCAGCACCTAGAAATTGGAGTTTGTCTCTCGATGTAGGGCTGTAAATAATTCGGATCGGATCTCATCTCGTAAGAGCTGGATTCGGATGTCCCTTATTCTTAACAAAGGGGCGGGACCTGCTCTTCACAAATGGGCGCCTCACAGATATATCCACCGTGCATTGAAAACATCTCCCGTGAAAAATAATAATAAATATGAGTTATGTTCTCAATACATAATAGGAGGTGTGAAGAGCAGATTCAGTTTCCCTAACAAATTGGATTGAACCGATTAATAGCCCAAGGCTCCCAAAYCCTAATCGATTGGGCTGCCCATTGCCCCTTTTCTTCCTTTCCTCATTTGGTCCCCTACTCCTCTACCCGCTAAGGCTGCAAAATGTAAGTCTTCTCCTCTATCTCTCTCCCTGTAGTTATGGGGCTAAAATCGGATACCTGTTAAGCTATCGAATCCGAATCATGAATTGTAAAATCCGACAGTTTAATGTTGCATTCAATTTGATCTGTTTGCCGCCCTATCTCGATGAAGTTACCGTATAATGCTCATACTTATCTATTTTTCTTGACAACGATCACCATCCTAAAAAATTTTAGCCCATTCTCATTGTCTTTTCTCTTCTATTTTGTTTTCTTTTTATTTTTATATATCTCACACTTAAATGTCTTTTTTCTTGATTTGTTAACTAGATCACTATTTTTGGTTTTACTTGCGTAGGGTTTGATAATGCTAAAATAAGGTTTGATTTAGGAACGTTTTCAAATGTTTGAGATGGCTCATGACTAAAATGTATTCATCTTTTTAATATTACAAGAACACTTGAAAATTTTAGTGGACTTGAAGAGGAAATCCCTTAGAGTCCAAAAGCATTGGATTCAGAGTCTCTCTAGTGGTGGGTACACATTCAACCATTTGGATTGAATAGGTCAACCCATGATGCCATAATTAAATAATAAAAATCTAAAAACATATGAAAATACAAAAGAATTATAGAAAATAATGCAATTTTGTCAAAAATTTTGGATAGTTCTCTAATATTTTAAATTCATCATATCAAACAAATGGCAAGTATGATAAATAAGAACCTTTTCTATTAAATGAAGGAAATAGAATACAAATCTTAAAATTGACCAAGTAATGAAATCATTTTCCTATCTAGGTGGTTAGTCAATGGTTCAAGTAGTAGGGTTAAATGAGTCAATCTATGATATCATAATTAAATAATAAAAATTAAAAAACACATAAAAATACAAAATAGTTATAAAAATAATGAAAACTTATGAAAAGTTTGTGCACATCTCTAGTATTATATATTCATTATATTAAAAAAGTAATATAATAAGAATTTATATTATTTTGTTAAATATATAATAAAATAAAGGGAAAATTCCACTTTAGTACCTTGAACTTTGGGGGTAGTGTCAAGTTAGTACTCGAACTTTCAAACGTGTTGCTATAGTACCTAAATTTTCAAAAAGTGTCAAATTGGTCTCCATCCTTAACCGACCATTAGTTATCTATTAAAAATATTAAAACTACCTTCAAAAGAAGATATTTTTCATTGTCTTCTACTTCACTAACCAAGTCAAATGGTTCAATGGCTCAATTAGATATGACACAATGTTGTTGACTAAATCAATGAATTTTATGTAGCCAAGCAATTTGATGATAAATAGACCTAGAATCCGACTTAATAGGTCAATCGGTCTAATGGGTTGACTGACTATAGCCTAAAAGACACCAATTAAAAACCAATGTTTTAAAAATAAATTAGATATGCATTTCCCTTCTAATCAAGCAAAATCTATCCACTTGTGATGTCATAAATTAAATAATAAAATATAAAATATTTTATACTTTATAAAAAGTCTAAACATGTCCTTACCTTAATATTATATAATTGTCATGTTAAGCAAAAGTATATTTAAAAATGAGAATTATTGTCATAAAATACATAAGTTAGAAAAAGATAATCAATGCCTTACCTATAGCCCATTAACCTGGTCAAATACTATAGTTGTTCGGCCAGCAAGGTCACTTGGTGTAGACCAAAGTCAATAGTGTTTTGCAACAAGGCGGTTTATGCTGAGAGTCTGAGACATTAACAGRCTAATCAATTTGGTTCAACCACAAACTAAAAATAATGACACGAATTCATATTTGTTTAATTACTTGTCTTTGTGACATGAATCCTAATAAGAAAATTGAAATTATATCTTCATCACTACCACCAATTGAAAATGTCCATGACAATAACTAAGTGAGAGTAGATTTAAGAGAATATTAGATAAGTGTCTCAAAGTATAATCTTGTACATGCAAATAGGGGTGCAATTGAACCAAGCTGATTTGAACTTCGGCATGTCTTAGCTCAATTTGACTAAAATACTACTATTTTCAAGTTTGAGATTGATTCAAACTCTATTTTTCAATTAAAGTTTGGTTTGAAATCTCAAAAAAACTAATATGTTTTTATATTTTATAATATATATTATAAAAACTATAATATATATCCATATACCTATATATAAAATTGTCAATGATATAATTTTGGTTTTTCCAATTTTATCTTTACAAATTTGTAAATCACATAAGACAAAAGTAATCATTACACTTTTTCACTTTCATATTTGTCATTAAATTTTTTTAATTATTTACAATTATACCACCATTTAAAAGAAAATTAATGAATTTCATCTCTTTCATACCCTAATTCTTTTCCTCTCTCTCTTGCCTAATATTTAGGATTTTCAATCGGTTTGACCTGGTCATAATTGCTTGTACCAGTCCCATTCTAATAAACTTTATTTATTCATTTATTTATTTTACTAAGTTAAATCAATTATTATATATAAAATTTTATTTATTTAATTATTTATTTATTTAGAAATAATTTACTAACAAATTATTATTAGCCCAATATTTGGGACTATCAATCCCCTCCCAATAAACTTTATTTATTCATTTATTTATTTTATTAAAATAAATAAATTATTATATATAAAATTTTATTTATTTAATTTACTAAATTATTTGTGTATTTAGAACTAATTTATTAACAAATTATTATTTGCCCAATATATAGGGTTATTAATGGGTCTGGTCTGGTTCAGGATAGCATGTACAAGTCCTGTCCCAAAACTTTTATTTATTCATTTATTTATTTTATTAAATGAAATAAATTATTGTCTATAAAATTTTATTTATTTAATTTACTAAATTATTTATTTTTTAGGAATAATTACAAACAAATAATTACCATATCTTCGTCCCTACTAGCGGGGACAAGGTTATCCCAATCCCTGTCCCCACAAGGATCCTCACTCATGCTTTTTCTATGGTGTCAACCATTTTGTTTTTTATTTTATAAAAATTAAAATAGTTAAAATTTACAATCTCCTATGAAAAAAAATTCTAAGTATATTTAAACATATTCAACTATATTTTTAAAAATATTAATATACATATATATGTAGATACAAGCTTACATATATACATATATAAGCAAGGATCCCCAAGGGGTGGAGCTTATATAGGGGCCTTAGGGAAAATTGCCATCTCTAATAATCATTGCTATATTGTTAATTTTATAGAGAAACAATGTTTTTTATTTCCTCATTGTATATATTGCTATTCTTATTTATTCTCAACTGACCCCATTTGTACCTTTGTAGCTGCCAAGGGAACACTCTACGAGAAAGTAAAAATTAAAGACAAATAATACTTACCCAACTAACAAAAGTGATTATCCACTCTCTAGATTCGTCTTTTGTATATTATTGATAGTTATTGTTTAGAATAATTATCATATAATCAATTATTCTTCCAAGTTGTAATAATCTTTGTACATTATGGTTATAAAAAAAATCTAATAATGTAATTTTTTTTCTTGATTCTATTTTAAAAAATTATTTTTCATATTAAATAATTTTACTATTATGTATATATTTTTACATTAGATATACATGCATAGCACGTGCCCTTCATTTATACCACCTATACTTTGTGGGCATTAACACTTAACCCTCCTAAACATTCATTTGTGACAATACACCCTTCACACCCTTTTCAAATTCCAACACTTTGCTCCCTCTATTAGCATTCCACTAGTTAATTTCAAAAGATGTTCTCATGTGACTGTCATGTGTTGAGTTGAAATCAGGCCCTCACAAGATAGTTTCCCACAACGTCCCATAGCACATCCCCATTGTGTATTGGTAACATCTTCTGATGATGTCTCATCATTTCTGGTACTTATCATCGGGAGATGTTCCTAATACATATCAAGGATGTATTGTGAGACATTGTGGGGGGTTGATTTCAACTCTCATGTGTTTGTTAAACATTTCTAAATCCCCAAATTACTCTTTCTTTAATGTGCTTTGCCTTTGTTAATTATTTTCATCACTATGAAATGTATCTTGTTCGTATGAATCTTGAAAGGACATTTTAGTGAATTAACTTCTTCCATCAATCCAATTAATGCCAAGGAAGTAAAGTGTTAGAATCTAAAAGTGAGCCAAACATTTAATTGGTCACATTCAAATTCAAATAACTAGTTGAGATTACCCTAAAATTTGAACTCAAATTTAGATTAGAATATGTAATTGTATTTGCACTAGTACAAATGCATGGGAGTGCAAAAGAATGCAAATTCTAGTTAATTTTTTTTTTTAATTTCTTTTGCAGGGCTAGGGTAGCCCGTCCCCCAACACATAACCCCCCCTCCCAACCAGCTGGTTGGTAAGGTCTCCTACTGGTCGTAGTGGAGACTTGAGATCAAATCCCAACTGGTTGGCACCTTGCAATTTTTTGCTTGAGGTCTTATTTTTATTTCATTTGCATATTGCCATCAAACAAAAAATTTAAAACAAAAGTATATCAGAATTTGCATTCAAATTATTTGCACTACCATAGTTTTGCATCACTGCAAATAAATTTGTCCTACAACCAAAAGCAGCAAGCTCGATTCAATTACAACCCTACTTGCGATTGAATCCCTTTTTGGCAATTCTGCCCTCAAGGTTTTGAAAGAATGGTAGGATCCATCTAATGGACGCCATAAAGGTTGCGGAATGGGTGGGGCGAATTTCAAAAATTTCCTACCTTCTCCCAACTGGGAATCATATTCCCTGAATTTAGAATACAATATTCAAGGATCTACTTGAACCTTAA